CCAGGATGGTCTCGATCTCTTGACCTCGTGATCCACCCGCCTCGGCCTCCCACAGTGCTGGGATTACAGGCTTGAGCCACCGCGCCTGGCCTGAGACTGGGTAATTTATAAAGAAAAGAAGTTTAATTGACTCACAGTTCTGCATGCCTGGGAAGCCTCAGGAAGCACAATCATGGTGGAAGGGGAAACAAGGCATGTCTTACTTGGCGGCAGGAAAGAGAGAACAAGGGGGGAAGGGCCACACTTTTAAACTGTCAGATCTTGTGAGAACTCCCTCACTATCACAAGAACAGCATGGGGGAAACTGCCCCCATGGTCCAAACACCTCCCACCAGGTCCCTCCCCTGTCACATGGGGAATAAAATTCCACACCAGATTTGGGTGGGGACACAGAGCCAAACCATATCATCATCCTGTAAAAATGTAATGTAAGTTCACCAGTGTCTTTATGCCTGCTTTGTATAGACCAGGATAAAATTGATTTCAGCAGGATCTAGGTTAGATCAACCACAAAAACAAAATTACAGTGTCCTTCTGCCCTTAAAATAGGATCATTACTTTCATAATACAGCCACCTAGCCAGCTGTCTAAAGAACTCCTTCCCCTGTCTTGACTAGTTGCCCCTCACTTCTTTTTTTTTTTTTTGGGGGTGGGGGGAGGGTACAGAGTTTCACTCTTATTGCCCAGGCTGGAGTACAATGGCATGATCTTGGCTCACTGCAACCTCCACCTCACTGGTTCAAGTGATACTTCTGCCTCAGCCTCCTGAGTACCTGAGATTATAGGCGCACGTCATCACACCCAGCTAATTTTGTATTTTTTTGTAGAGACGGGGTTTCTCCATGTTGGTCAGGTTGGTCGCGAACTCCTGACCTCAGTTGATCTGCCTACCTCGGCCTCCCAAAGTGCTGGGATTACAGGTGTGAGCCACCACACCTGGCACCCCTCACTTCTGAGAAGCAGAACAAGAAGGATCAGTGATGGCCCTTCCACCCTTGGGTGGGGCCCT